TTTTTCAGCTTCCTTTCCTCCCATTCTTTTTCTCCCTTCAAGCCTTGCTCCACCACTTGACTAAACGTCATGTTAGGCAGCTGTGTTGCCCTTTCACGCACGTCTAAATCCAGAGCATCCCAGAAGTGGTTAACCATTCGGTTCTCATCGCATGCATACTCCGGTATGAACTCGGCAAGCTCCCTGAACTTATGCTCGAGTTGTCTCACGGTATACCTGCCTCCTTGGGTCAAGTTGGTGTATTCCCTCCTCTTCAAGTTTACCTCGAAGTCGGAGTAGTACTGGTTGAAGAATTCCTGCCGGAAATTCTCCCAAGTGACATTCTCACCATACTTCCCTTTGACTCCGTCCCACCACGTGGATGCCATTCCTTCTAGCAACCTCGTTGCTACTCTCATCTTCATGTTTGGCGGCAGCTGCATATCAAGAGCCGCTTCATTAAATCTTTTGATCCACTCCGCCGCAACGGAGATATCTCCCGTTCCATCGAACGGCTTACACCCCAAATCTCTCGCTTCTTTGAGGTACTTCGAGATCCTTATTATTGGGACCTCAGCACCCCGATCTACTCGGGACTCTACATGTCCCCTAGATCCCACATGGCTTCCTCTTCTTGAAGCCCCTCCCAAAGCACGCCTTGCCCGGCGCCTTTGGCGATCCTGTTGGTGTTGACGGAGCAGCTCCTCCATCCTTTCTAGAGCGTCATCATCGTCGCTCTCATCATCATCATCATATTCCCCATCATATGGGGTCTCAACCGGCTCGGTTCCCGGTTGATACGTCGAATCCTCCTCGGAATCGTATTGTTCATCGATTGTCTCCACATGACCGTCACTCACCGTTAACGAGTGACCCGCACGGTCCTGCCCACGAGACGCCCTCGATGCCCCTCGACTGCCATGTTGGGATCCTCCCCGTGCCTGGCCAGTCGGGTTTCTTCGAGTGACTTTACCGGTACGTTCCATTTCTGAAAGAGATAGAGATTGAGTCATTAGACCCGTATCAAATGTCAAATGACGGATAGGCACTTAAAGACATCCCTTGGCTCAAATCGCCGCCATGCCAATTGTTAAGGGTACCATCTTAACAATTAGAGACATTGCAACTCAAGTACCAAAAGTTCTATAAGTACAAAACTTTATGCTCATGGTTTTCAAAATCATTTTCAAAAAGGATTTTGAAGCTTCATTATGAAGTTTACGGACTAAGGCTCTGATACCAATTAAATTGTCACGCCCCGGACCTACCCGGACACGTCAACAACCCGCCGTACAGTACGAATAGTCAACCGCAGTCCAACTCGTCCATACTATACAAGGCGTCTTGAATACCATTCACAATAGTACATCCATAAACAATCATAATGTAAAATAATTAATTAAAGCAGCGGAAACATTAATATAATATCCGAGCCACACGTGGCAAACACGGGCATACAAGCCCCAAATAATTATTCAAAATAATATCCATGAGCATTATTTAGATTGTTTTCAAAACAGAAACGGAAGAAGCACGAACCACGTCTTCTTCCCTTGATCTCCCCGAAGCAACGGGTGGTGGCAGCAACTCTTCAAGTTCTACCTGAAACTGTGAGGTGGCCTCCCCCGTGAAGGGGAGGTCAGTACTTGGAAGCATTTGACAAGTACAATGACAACTATACTAAGTATAATCAATGTTTCAATTTCTTAAGACCCTCAAATAGAGTGATATTATATCGTAGGCCGTAACCCCCGGTTACCCTGTTTTATGAATATACTTACTTTATATAAAGTCAAGTAGTCGGCCCGTGGGCCCATATTCATTTAGAATTTACCATTTTCACTTTCCGTGACCATGAGTCACGACAACCCCATAGGGTTCCCTCGAGTCCCGATTGTATAGCAAGGGCTCGGCCCAACTACATTTCTATACAATCCTTTAACTCAATTTAATATATCTAAATTTGTATGGCAAGGGCTCGGCCCAACTACGTTTCCATACCAACCATAACTTCATGGCAAGAGCTCGGCCCAACTACGTTTCCATGAAGATCACAATGCATGGCAAGGGCTCGGCCCAACTACGTTTCCATGCTAGTCACATTACATGGCAAGGGCTCGGCCCAACTACATTTCCATGTAATCCTAGAGTCCGACTCTAATTTATTTCCATAGCTCAATTCTCAAGCAAATCCTATGCCTAGAATCAATTCACTTGGATAGCCTTTTGGCCTACCCCTAACACACCGTAGTGTTCATACAATTTGACCTTAAAGCATCTCTTAAGACTACTTAAGGCATATCTATTCACAATCCTATCTCTTAGGATTAATTCCATCATTTATTTATATAAATCTCCCGACTAGTATTTCGATACTAGTCGAATAACCTTAGAACAACCAAGTTCTAAGTTCATAGCCAAATGGTTTATCTCAATTGATTTTCCAATCCAAATATGATTTAATCCCAATATCAAAAATATCACTTTTATCCATTCATGAATTTCATACATGAAGTAAAAGTATATTTTATCACAATTTTCATAGTTAATTCCATTACCATACCATTTCTTTCATATCACATAATCATACACAATTTCTTACAAATTTGTATATTATGCTCTTTTCCTTATAGACAATAGTCTTCTCATTCTTAGGCATTATTAATCATTAATAATCCTTAAAAAACATATTTAATTACCTTAGGTAATCTCATGAAATTAACCCAAAGATTATAAGCAATATAGTCAGCCATCCTCACCTTATGAAGTGCTGAAATAGTTGTCCTTGTTAAGCCCTTCGATCAATCCCCGTTCTAAACCGTTTGGAGATGAAAAATCTGGGCAGCAGACGAAAGCCGGGCGGCTTTCGTGAAAGGTGGGCGGCTTTCGTGGTCTGCAGCTACGAACAGCCTCCTATACTTGGCGGTTTCCGGCGATTTCAACTCCTATCGATTCCACGACTCTTCTAAGTTAATTACCACCGCTTTATAACATTATTCTACACTTTTAAACGTGTATAACTTCATGTTTGATCCATCATATGATTTCTTAAAAATCATACAAAAATAAAGCTAGTTAAAGAACTATATGAGTTCTTACCTCCAATCCTAGCTCTTTCTCCTTGGATTTCGTTTTCTCTTGCTTCCTCCAAGATATGAATGATGTGAAGAGCTTCTCTAGAGCCTCTCTCTCTCTTCTCTTGGTCTTGGGTGGTTCGAATGATTCAAGGAGGGTAGGGGAGGAGTCCTTCTCAACCAACACATCACAAGGTGTGGGATAGGACATGGGTGAGTGGGTTTTGTCTCAATGAGACTTCCCATTCCCACCATCCGCACAAGCCAAGTTTGTGTGGCCCCCTCCCTTATTATTTGAGCTAATTTAGTGTATAGGATACCCCAAGTGGGTGTAGGAAGTCCCTCCCAATTATTCCTGCTATTTTCGGTAGGTCGGGCCAAAATAGCATTCGGGTTGTCCAAATATTTTTATCAACTTTGGTTGACCCTTTATTGGGTTCCTTAAATTATTACGATAACCCAACTAAATATTTGGTAGCTCATTCTCAATATTACGGGCCCGATAAATTATTTAATTAATCACACATTAATTAAATATATCAATCAATTACACGAAATTTATTCGCTAGGAATTTCAAATACAAGTCGAATTTCAAATTCAAGTACATCCGGGTGCGGTGTCACATAATGCATATATTTAGGACCAGCCTGTGACATCCACTATATGTGAGCTACAGAAAGCTTATAGGAAAGTTAAGATTATAGAAATGGAAAACTAAACTCCTAATAAACTGGAATAAATTAGCATAAAATGTGAAATTCTTGACTGAAATTTTGTGAATAAAAAAGCTGTGAAATAGTCTCTTCTGCTTTAAGAATGTCATAGGAGCGTTTTTAAGAAGTTTATTACCTAATTGTAATGACGACCAAATGATTAATTATTTTCCTAATTGGAATGAAACGTAATATCAGTAATACACAATGACAGTAACTGCTTTACGGCATTGTGAAAACAACCCATCACTTACACCTCCCACATTAGAATACCAAGGAACTTTATGTAACACCCCGGCCCCGCAGAACCCGAGGTAGTTACTTCGGACCAATAGTACTGTCCTCACAAACCACCACTAGCCTTTACCGCGCACTTTGTCCTCACTCATGCGCGCCCTGAGAAACTTCCCAGGGGGTTACCCATCCCAAGACTACTCCCGTGCAAGCACGCTTAACTTTGGAGTTCTTAGCGGATGAGCTCCCTTAAAAGGAGATGCACCTCTGTTGGTATGAGTAGTACTATTAATCCGTTTATATTAAATCTCAAGTGTTACAATCACCCCCACTTAGGATCGCAACGTCCTCGTTGCGCCCTTAAACCAATCTCAATCAAATCCCAGAAACTTTTCCCCTGCTAGGTGTTTGCCCGATATCCAACGGATCAGCACACTGTCGCAGGGTTGCTCTGATACCACCTGTAACACCCCGGCCCCGCAGAACCCGAGGTAGTTACTTCGGACCAATAGTACTGTCCTCACAAACCACCACTAGCCTTTACCGCGCACTTTGTCCTCACTCATGCGCGCCCTGAGAAACTTCCCAGGGGGTTACCCATCCCAAGACTACTCCCGTGCAAGCACGCTTAACTTTGGAGTTCTTAGCGGATGAGCTCCCTTAAAAGGAGATGCACCTCTGTTGGTATGAGTAGTACTATTAATCCGTTTATATTAAATCTCAAGTGTTACACTTTATTATTACGCTACTTTGCAGATTCTACACAAAAATATCATTCTATGATAAACAGAATTATAAGATAAGTCTACTGCTAATAAATTAGTACCTAACGTTGGTTTCAACTTGGCAAGATAATAAAATACAGCCTGGAATTAGTCTTCTTGGTCAAAAGGAGTTATGTTTGATTCATAAAAATTCATAATAAATTATGTTTGATTCACTATTAATACTATACTTTGAGATGTTATTTGATTTCCTCCTTTTAAATTGTTTCCTTAGGGCTGTGTGTGCTTTTTGGAGATAGAAACTCGGGGTGCTGAAAAACTACTCCTCATGACCAGCAAGCAAATAATGGAGATAGAAACACAGGTGACACACATTAAACCGACCTTTCGCACAATACATACCCATTGTCTACATACAATTGATTCCTGAATACAATTTGCCACGTCATCTGTGCAGGGGAAAAAAGCCTCATTCCAATACGCCAACAAACGGTTGGTAAATGAAGATTACATCATTCAGTTGAGAACAAATACATTCAAAAGACTAGGCATCTCTGCAACAACCTACACCGTGCAATCATTGCACGAGTCTTCTCACCACATGACAAAGAAGGATATAGAAAATCCAACAAATGAGGAGACCCCAAGTACTAGCAAAATCGAATCGCTCCAGTCCAAGAAACGCCAGAGGACTTATTGAGGGCCCTCACCTGAAAACTTTACTCAACCGTGGAACCTTCTAAATGCTTAGTTTTTAAATTTAAACCTAGGACATTGTCTATTTTTGGTCGCCATTTCTTTATCTTGACTTTACTTGCTGCTCCTTTTAACATTTACCATTCCACATAAACTTATTGAACATCATTAGTCTTTTTATTCTATCTATTTTATAGTTTTATGAAATTATGCTTGATTTGCTCCTATTTCATTCATTGCATTTGTGTCAACTTTATTTTACTCCACAATCAGTTTACCTATTATTGGTTAACTCATTTCCGACCATTCCCAGAATCTTACTTATCCCCTCCAATACTTGAACCTACCACCTTAAGTTATGAAATCACGCAATATCTTAATGCATCTTATCCTCTTGTATTTTAATCTACAAAAACAATCTATCTCACATTCAATACTTGTCACTAAATAAGTTTTGTTTCAAGATTCAAATTTCTTTTTCGCTTAGCATGCTACTTCCCTCTGTGTATTATGGCATCCCTTTTCCCAAATACTTTATTAAGCCCACTACATTTAACTAAAATCTCCCTCTTACATTTGCGGTTGTAACATTCAGATTACACTTCTAACACGCTATTAAGTTTAAGGCCTACATCGAAAAGTGAATATTGGGCATTGTACCATCGCGCAACGCGCGTAGGGATAACTAGTAATTACTTATAGAAGTCATAAACATGCTCTAGTGATTGTGAATGTGAAGAATATAAGACTCGCACTTTCTCAGTAATCTGCAAACAAATTGAATATTGCATAATAATCTCACATATACTCCGTATGTCTTGAGCATACAACATGTAAGCATGGATATCAAGGTTCACGCTATATGTAAAGTTCAACTTTCATTGACTGGTTCATGGAAAAAACATGTAATGTATTTTAACAGAAAGCAGAGCTATCTGTTGTAAAACTAAGTTGCATTCGTTTTAAAAGAAAGCTGCAATCTGGCTTAAACATAAAACGGAGCAATCTTCTGCCTAATAGTTCACAATCAATTTTTTTATAGAAAATAAAAAGAAGTGTTCAAGAATAGCAACCCAAACACAAATTCAAAAACAATAAACAAATAGCCTTCACACAGAATGTCCTCCACCGAATTATAATTTATGGTCCGTGAATTAAAAATTAGTCATAATTATCAATCACATGTTTGCATTTTCCAATTAAAATTTCAAACCCATTTGTGTGTTTTGGAAATATGTTTGTCGTAGCAGGTTGAATGCTCCAGCCACTGTCATCCTTAGATTTTGACCGCCTCTTCTTCCAGAAAACGACAACCCACCTCTTAGTTTTGCCGGAAGCACATCTGCCCATCTACAGTCCGCCGTTTATGTAGCATATATAGTTCTTGATGAGCGGAACCGCTCGTACAGTCCCGCCGGCCCTCATCTACTCCATCCAATTAATTAAACGCATATATAGATTTTAGTTTTTGTTCACTCAAGTTCAATCAAACGAACAAGATCAGAAAAAATACTTCAAAGACCGGAGGAGTTTCAAGCAGATGCGTAGGAAACGAGAAATTAATTACTTGCCGAATGCTGAGTCACAGTGTGAGATAGCCTTGCTGAAAATCCATGGAGAGGTAGAAGGCGTGGCTTTTTTCCCGTTCCAGCTCAGCCGCACAGGGCAAATACGTTGTTCCGATCCGTTGGAGACCATTTTTTTACTTCCACTCAATTTTTATTTACGTGGCAGTGCATTCTTAAAAATAGAAAGGTCCATTAAAGATGTTCTTAACTCCTCTCCCACTTTTTTAGGCACATTCATAATTGTAAAATCATCTATCCACCAACTAGCTAGTACTTGTACGTATACTTTTTGAGGCACTTTGTTTTCTAGAAATTAAATGTATGTCTAAAAAAAACTTGATAAATTAAGGGGAAATTAATTGGTTTGGAGATTATTTGAGATTTTCTTATGTGGAAGTGACATGACAATATTAACCCATAAAAAATCTCAAAATTGAATAGTGAATGTGGATGCTCTAAGAAGAATGAATGTATACAGTCCCAAGACTTATGAAACTTCTCATTCCTTTTCTTCTCTCTTTTTTCTCCATTTCGTTCCATCTTCCATCTCTTTCCATCTCGTAAGTCTTTTTTCCCTCCCTTCTTTTTTTTCTTTGTTCAGGGTTTCTCCGACAATGTTACGGACTTTTGGTTACCAGTAACTTCTTTTAATTAACACGGAGTACATACGTAGTACTTCGTACATACTGCGGATTATTATTTTATTCTCGGTTTTTTTAACTTTGTTTTGTTAATGTCGATTTTATTTATCCACCGACCAGTACCTTTTGCATAATGTCCTTCATATAACACATTGTCATTTTGTTTATTTGTTTGTTATTCCATATTACGGTATTACGGATTATTATCTTTATGCTTGTAACTTTATGTTGTTTTAATTATTATTAGACTTATAACTTTAGACATTTACAGTTTTAATTATTATTAGACTCGTAACTTTAGACATTTACAAATTTGGTTCTGTACAATAAATGTTTGCGATTTTAAGACTTGCCCTAAGATGACATTTTCCAAAAAAAAAATCAACCTAATTGAAAACATATTACTAGTAAAACACTTTGGAGTTGTGGTAGTTATTGGTGATCACTACAAAAAACAAACACGAGATTGACAGAGATTTTGGTACAGATTTGACACGAATTTTGGCAGGGATACGCCAAATCCGTGCCAAAAACACTTTGGCACAAGCTATTTGGCACGAAAAATTGATAAGTCCGTGCCAAATTCCGTGTCAATCCTGCTTTTTTTTTTGTAGTGGATGGTAAATCAAGGAATCAAGGAAGAACCAGTTGTTGGGCGACAATTCTATCGTAACTAGTCTTCTCTTTGAAAAGTTTAAAACTGAGTCTTAATATACATTTATTTTTTGTTCTCAATTTATTACATAGTGTTATTATTCTTGAAGGAAGATAATACCTTCTTTCTTTCAAAGTTGATCCTTTTGACAACTCTACAGCGTATTCCCTACGTATCAAAATGTTCAAGAGTCCAGAATACCAATGTAAAGAGTAATGAGTAATCTAATATATAAGTACTTTTAATTACGGAGTATTTCTTAAAGTTTTTTTAAAGTCAATTTATGTTTTACAATTGTTGAAACTAATCCAATACGAACCGTATATCAAAATGTATATATAAAAGAGTTGAACACTCAATTTTAATGCGAAAACCCGAAAGAGTAAAAACCACAAGACTTTTGGGCTAATGTCCAATCCATTCTCTTTTTATTCATAGTTTCCTCACCATTTATATTATACAAGAATAAGGTTCGTTAGAGCAGCCATTAATGGAGTTGGGAGCAAACTAGAGCCAAGTGACAGAAGAAGAATGGAAGAGACCCCAAACATGGAGGGGAATCCTCCTATAAATAGGAAAAGGGAGAGGACATGTATTTCTATCCTAATGGCCGTAATGGGCCTTACTGACCGGGCTTCATACGGGCAAGTGTATTGAGCATACCGAATAATAGTATGCCAGACTCTGCAAATATCCCAACAATAATAATTATTATAAAAGTAATTGAGTACAGTTAGGGGTGGAGGCAAGGGGGGCCAGGGTGGTCATCTGACCCTCCTAAAAATTTGAGGGTATAAAGTTGTGGAACATCTTTGATTTGATATATTATGACCCATGCAATTCATTATGAGTAAAAAGTTATTGATGGTAATATTGATTATTTTCCAAAATTTTAAAAACTACGTATAATTCACTCATTTCTTGCATGACATGACTGAGAGACAAAGCAAAGAACATCCTAGCTATCTTATTGTTACGAGTCCCTGTTTATCTAAACTACATATGAGACATTCAACTCGGATATTGTTTAAAAATGATCCATCATATTCATTCTGTATATAGTTAAGTTTCGATCCACCCTGAGCCATTTTTATGGCTCCGCCATCAAGTACGGTGTAACTTGCGTTGCTAAAACAATTAAAGGAGCAAAGGGGGGCAGATGAGTATTTTGGAATAAATTAGCTAAATATTTTGGGAATATTAGCCAGCTAAAGAATATGGAATTGAAATATTGAGTAAATAATTTGGGAATTTTGGTTCAAAATTCGCAAGTATATTATGATACGAGAATATTTGCTAAAGATTTTTAGAATACTGTTACAAAAGAAATCGCATTATGATCCCTCATCTAACACCCATATTGAAATTTAGTCTCTCTTTTGGTTTTTCTCAAATGTTGTCCTCATTGAATTGTAACAGACTAGCTAACAGTATTGTATGAGAATTGTTTAAGCAAGAAACTATCAATTTCTTCAAACAATTAAGAATAAAGTAACTAGGCTTCGCACAAGAAATTACACAAGTATTATGCTAGAATCTGGGTATGAAAGCTTGTATAATACGAATGAATTTCTTTAGTAATAGAGTAAGTAGTTCGAGTAGTAATTGATAAACAAAAAGATGCCCCTCTATCTAAAGCGTATCCAATTTAAATAGGCTTTCTTCTCTCCTCTCAACTTCCTAACTGCCCGTCGAAATAGGCGGCACTACTTTGAACGCATGCTCCTTTCTTCTCCTCCAAGATCACTTCGATCTTATCCACTTAGAGGCATTGACTTGGCTTAACTTCCACGGACTGGACTTTGATTCTTTGCTGGGCCACTTAGCTGCAAATACAATTTGGGCCGATGACTATCATTATTATTAATGGTCCAACAATTGCCCCCATTCTGAGATCTGTTTGGTTTAGGACTTAGTTTCTCTTTAAAACCAAATAAGACTCAGAATCCCATCGGTCTACGCACAGTCTTGAAACTACCAAACCGTCTCTCCGTATCAGTAAACCAAGCGTCGTGCGTCGTCTTCCTCTTGTCATTCTCCAGAATCCAGCAACAATTGAACTTCATGGCTTCCCAAAACTTCACCCCTTTGTCTATTCTTGAAGCAAAAAGCTCGAAACAGGCGAGACTCACTGAAGACCAAGTGGAGCACATCCAGACTTCCGCCGGTTTTCCCTCTTCAGCGACCATTCGTTTCCCGGCGGCGAATGAGCGGATGGATTGGTTCTGCCCCGGTTGGGTCAATTTCTTGTACTATCCCTTCAAGATTGGGATGAAGTTT